CAGGAGGGATGGTCACACCGCAATCCCTTCTCCTCCATTCTCCTCTCGGGATCTTGGGCACACACGCACACGTGCCTGGCGTGAGTTTTAAGCCACCGGGTCTGGGATGCAAACCGCGGTCGACTACGTGGGAGTCCAGCGACATAGCCATTACGCCAACTGCTGGTCCCCCCATATTTACTCTTCAGGAAAAGTAATTCTGAACATATTATGCCACAGTTCGTAGAAACTGCAGATTCTCTAGTGCCAGACAGCTGGGTCCTGCTGTGGCTGGCGGGCAGATGTCCTGCGTGGTTAAGGATTTGCAGCTGGCCTGGGACAGATATGTTCCCCGCCCCTTTCTTCCTCTGTAACCAGGGCCTCCAGATTAAGCAAAGTTCCCCAGCCAACACTTTTCTTTCTCAAAACCTGTGCTTCCTGCCCCAGTCATGGTGGCACATGCTGCCAAGACGCTGTGCCCATAGCCTGTGGCCGTACAGACCTGGGTTTGATTCCCCGTCTAACTCAAAGGCCAGAAGCAGTGGTGAGCACTTCCAGTGACTCATAGGGCCTGAGGCCCGGGGGTTGCAAGCTTGAGGCCAGTTTGGATAACATAGTGCCACTCTGCCTAAAAAAGAGCCAGGTGTAGGGGCCAGCAGATGACGTAGTGTTACGTCACTGACTCCCACATGGCTGACCACGGTTCAAGTCCTGGACCTGGTGGCTTGAAATCACACTAGGGGCATGTGTATGCGTGCCCAAGATGCCAGGAGGAGAATGGAGGAGAAGGGATTGCGGCGTGGTCATCCTCCCTGGGGGTGATTTCTCACTTTCCCTCTCACTGTCTGTCTCTCACTCGCCCAAGTGGATGTGCCCTATGGCAAAAACTCTAAGAAAATAATAATAAAAGAGCTAGGGAAACAAAACAACAGGGGCCCAGTGGTGGCACAGGAGAAACACAGCGCTCTGGGAGGCCGATCCACACTGGGAAGCTCTGGGTTTGCATCCGGAGCCTCCCTGAGCGCGCGGAGTGTGGTTGTGCTCATGATCTGGGGAGCATGGGCTGGGGATGGATCGTGGCATGAAGATTCCATTGGAAGTGCTTGCTCTCTGTCTCTCTGTCTCCTTATCTCTCACGCATGAAAAAAAAATCAATAAATAAACTTTAAAACAATCTTTTGTCGTAGGGCATGTGTGCTTGCTGGAGAGTGATAGAGAAAGACAGAGAGAGGGAAAATGAGGAATCACTCCACAGGGGGTATGTCCACAATCTCTTCCTCCATTCTCCTCTCGGGATTTTGGGCATGCGCACACGTGCACCTGGCATGTTCTTTAAGTTGCTGGACCTGGGACTTGAACTGTGCAGTCAGCCAGGTTGGATCCAGTTGCCTTTACCTCCACACTATCTGCCAGCCCAGATTCATCCATTATTAACATTTTGTCTCATTTGCTTTCTTTTTTTTTTTTTAAGAATTATTTTAAAAATTTTATTTGTTCATTCAATCATTTTCATTTGACCAGAGAAAGACAGACACACAGAGAGAAGGAAAGTGAGAAAGCAAGCCACCAGGTTCGAGACTTGAACCATGGTCGGCCATGTGGGAGTGTCCAGCACCTTCACCACCACGCCACCTGCTGACCTCTCATTTGCTTTCTTACTATAGGGATCTGTCATTTTTTCCCCTGAACCATTTGGGAGTAAATTGCATAAATCACAGCCCTTACTCCCTGGATACTTTGGAATAAGCATATTTACCTAATGTAACCATAGTATAGAGAACAATTTCAGTAAATCTGATCTTGACATGGCATTTCTTCCACATTAACTGCCTGCATTACAATTCTATCCATTAATCCAGTGATGGGCATTTGCCCCTCGAGTTCAGGATCCAGGCTGGGACCCTGTGTTGCACATAATTGTTTTATCTTGTTCTTCTCCTTCACTCTGAAGCAGCTTCCAGACTTTCTTGGTCTTTTATGACTTTGAAATTTTATTTTTTTAAATTCATTTATTCCGGGACCAGCAAATGGCATAATGATTATGTTGCTGGATTCCCACATAGTTGACTGTGGTTTGAGTCCTGGACCCGGTAGCTTAAAACTAATGCTGGGTGTGTGTGTGTGTGTGTGTGTGTGCCTAAAATCCCAAAAGGAGAATGGAGGAGGTGGGATTGCAGTGTGGCCACCCCCTACGGGGGTGATTTCGTGCTCTCTGTTTCCCTGTCTCTCTGACGAGCGCAAGCACCCATAGCAAAAATTTCTCAACTTTTTAAAAAATGTATTCCATGAGCGAGAGAGACATGGTGAGAAGAGGTGCGGCACCCTGACAGGGTTCTGATGCTTAAATACCCCCACCCCCAGCTTTAGCAGCCCGGGTCATGGGCACTCATGCACGGGCCCTCTCGGGGCGCCTCTGGACAGGAAACAGCATGCTTCCCATGCGGGTCTGCGTCATGAAGCGGCGGCATTGCTGCCCCTCCACCTCGCCCTGACTTTGACACTTCCTCCATTTGAGCTTGTCCGATGTTTGCTTCGATGCCTGGGTTGCTGGCCAGGAGTGCTGCGTAGACCCGGGGACTGCACAGGAGGCCCTGTCTGGAGGTGTTCTCCCTAGGTCAGGATGCCTGGCTCCTGTGCTGTGCAGTCACTCTTCTGTTAGTAGTAGGGTCACTATTATTTCAAATTTGCCAGGGAGTGCTTGTGCTCACAAGGAGTGCGGTGAGTGAGACAGCACCCGCTGTGGGGGATGGCCGTGCTCGCACCCGCTGTGGGGGATGGCCGTGCTCAACCCCTTCTACTCTGCTGTCCTCTCTGGATTTTCGGCACAAATGTACGTGTCCCCGGTGTGTTTCTTTTTCTTTTTTTTTCTTTTCCTTTCTTTCTTTCTTTTTTTCTTTTTGGAGAGGTTTTCACTATAGGGCGCATGCGCTCGCCAGAAAGACAGAGAGAGACAAAGAGACAGAAAGCAAGAAATCACCCCCCAGAGGGAATGGCCATGCCTCAATCCCTTCTCCTCCATTCTCCTCTCGGGATCTTGGGCACGCACGCACATGCGCCCGGCATGAATTTAAGCCACCAGGTCCGGGACTCAAACTGCGGTCAACTACATGGAAGTCCAGCGACATAGCCATTACGCTAAATGCTGGTCCCAACCCAGAGTGTTTCTTAAGCCGCTGGACCCAGGACACCTTCACCACCACAGCCACCCGCTGGCCCTACAGTTACTCTTTTCCCCATGCTGTTAGTAAATAATCTGTCAAGAGACACTTTTTTTTTTTTTTTTGTAGGATTTTGTGTATAGGGTGTGTGCACTCTCTGTAGAGACAGAGAGACAGAAAGTGAGGAATCGCCCCCCCAGAGGGACGGAATCCCTTCCCCTCCATTCTCCTCTTGGGATCTTGGGCATGCACGCACACACATTTGGTGTGAGTGATAAGCCTCTGGGTCCCGGACTCGACCCGCAGTCAACCACATGTGAGTCCAGCAATGTACCATTATGCCACCTGCTGGTCCCAGTCAAGAGACACTTCAAATCCGTGCCATATCCTGCTCCTCAGCGAGAATCTCCACCCAGGCTTAGCACTCACTGATGAGCCATGGCTGTCCTCATGTAGGCTGCCCCTGCGGAGGTCGTGTCACCCCAGGGAGGACGGAGTCCCCGAGCAGGCCAGCCTCCCCTTACATTCCAGTTTCTCCTGGCCGACACTCCGCCTCCGTGCTGCGACCTGGGTTCGAGTCCTGGCTTGCAGCCCACCCCTTGCGTGGACAGCCAGACTGCCTCGCTGCGAGTTGTTTCTGTCCTCGCTAGATGGAGGGGACCGCAGAGCTGCCGGTCACTCAGGGTGGGGTGCCTGGGCGCCCTCTTCCCCAGCCCCAGGCCACGGAGGCTGAGGATGGTGAAATTTCACTGGTGAGGCTGCGGTGGGCTCGGCAGTAACCTGCGATAAGATGCCTAACAGTTAAGGCAGCTGCTTTGAGGTTGAAGCTGGGGGCCCACAGGAAGTGACTTGGTGCTGGCCCATAGGAAATGACTGGGCCCAGCACCATCTGGGGACAGGAGCTGCAGGCTGGTGCACCTGGGGGGAATGTCGCTGGAGTGCCCTGAGCCTGGTCCACAAGAGACGCAGGGCCAGTCCCCGGGGCTAGACAGGCGCTTCGGTCCGTGTCCCGCTTCACCCATGCCTGTTGCCTGGAGCCTGCCCCGCTGGAGAGCTGTCGTGGCGGCCACAGTCCTCTGCTACATCAACCTCCTCAATTACATGAACTGGTTCATCATCGCAGGTGAGGGGGGCAGCGTCCCAGCAGCCCCCGTGGCCATGATGGCTGTCCACCCAGCCCCCTTTCTTCTCTCGGACACATCTCTGGAATTCTCCCCTCTGGAGCGGTTTCCAGCCATGGCTAAAGGCAGGAAGGGCTGATGGAAGTTCCCAAACCAGCCCCAAACTAAGAGGGGGCACAGTGAGTGTGGGGGTAGGGTGGACGTCAGGGATGACTGGGCCACAGTGGGGTCAGAGGTGAGGAGTGTGCGGGTGAGGACAGTGAGGGGGCTGGGCCTTCCAGGCTAAGCCCTGGAGGTCGGGGGTGGGGGGGATTGCTGGGAAGGACCGTGGTGCCCAGGCCCTGGCTGACGGTTTCGGGGACAGAGGCTGACCTTGCGTATGGCACCTTCCTGCTTGTAGGCCCCAAGGCTCACCCTGCTTCTCTCTTCCCACTATTCATTCAATCATTCAAGACTGACTGGGCTTCACTCTGCTTTCTCTTGTCACTCATTTACTCATCATTCATTCAAGATTCAGCTTTCTTTTCTCTATTTTTAAAAATAATTATTTTAGTTAACTTTATTTATTTTTAATTTGACCAGGGAGGGACAGAGTGAGAAAGCAAGCTGTGAGATCCGGGACTCGAACCACAGTTGGCCACATGGGAGTTCAGCCCCCTTAACCACCATGCTACCTGCTGGTCCCTCCATCAACTTTTTGAAGACTTCATATATGTAAATATGGCTATATGGATATGTCTTTTTGTTTGTTTGCTATAGGGCACATACACACCCCAAAGAGAGACAGAGATATAGAGAGAAAATGGGAAAGCACCTCTCAGATGTGATGACCATTCCTCATGCCCTTCTCCTCCATTCTCCTCTTGGGATATTGGGCATGTATGAATAAGTACCCAGTGAGCTTCTTAAGCTATCAGGTCTAGATCTTGAACCATGTGATTGGCCATGTGGGATCCAGCTGCCTTAACTACCATGCCACCTGGTTGGCCCTGGATAGATACTAAAAAAAAAAGAAATGGTTGAATAGGACCAGCAAATGGTGTAGCAGTTATATTGCTTGACTCCCTTGTAGCTGACCATGTTTTGAGTCCTGGCACATGTGCTTGCATACCCAATATTCCAGGAGGAGAATGGATTGCAGTATGGTATAAATGTAGCAGAGATGGAGAGAAAATTTTAAGAGACACTACCCCCGTAAGGCTTTTGCTGTAGGGCATGTGTGCTCACCAGAGAGAGAGAGAAAGAAAGTGAGAAATCACCCCCCAGGACGGATGGCTATGCTGCAATCTCTTCTCCATTTTCCTCTTGGAGTTTGGGGCACACATACACATGCTCCCAGTGTGATTTTCAAGTTGCTGGGTCCAGGACTTGAACCACATTCAGTTCTTTGAGATTCCGGCGCCTTAAGCACTACACCACCTGTTGGTCCCATCAACAAGGTCTTGATGCTGAGATCCAGCCCCAGCCCCAGCTCCGGATCATGGGCATGTGTGTGCCTGGCGTGCTCAAGGAGGTCTCTAGACAGAAGCCCAGACCCTTCCCAAGTGGATCGGCTCAGAAAGCATGACCTTTTCTTTTATTGTTTTAACTCTATTTATTTATTCATTTATTTTTAATTTGACCAGAGAGGAACAGAGAAAGAGAGAGAGAGAGAGAGAGCAAGCAAACTGTCAGAGCAGGACTCAAATTGCAGTTGGCCATGTGGAAGTTCAGCGCCCTAACCACCACGCCGCCCGCTGGCCCCATGAAGGATCACCTTTGGCTGCTATTCCACCGTCCCACCCCTTTTCAGTTCTCTTTTCTTTCCTTCTTCTTTAAAAAAAGAAAAAATGTCAGAGGGTGCATGTACTCGCCAGAGGGAGAGAGAGAGAGAGAGAGAGAGAGAGAGACACGGAAAGTAAGAAAGCATCTCTCATGGGGGATGGCCATGCCAAAATCCCTTCTCCTCCATCTCTCTGTCCTGTAGGGGTTTTGGGCACCTGTGCATATGTGCCTGCTGTGTTTCTCCAGCACACAGTGGGTGTGTTAGGCCACCTTAACCACCATGCTCTGGGCTGGCCCTCATTTACCTTATCATCGCTTATTCATTCAAGACTGAGTGGGGAGAGGAGGGCACTCTGAGAGGGTCAGGTGAGTCAGACGCGCAGGGTGGAAGTGCACGCTCAGATCAGGAGAGCACAAAGTTCCAAAAGGGGGTTTAGGGGTCAGCTGATGTTATGGTGGGTAAGGTGACTGGATCCCACGTGGCTGACTGCACAGTTCAAGCCCCAGAGCCGGCAGCTTGAAAAATGTGCCAGCGGGGACCAGCAGTTAGCATAATGGCTATGTCACTGGACTCCCACGTAGTCGACCACGGTTCGTGTCCCAGACCCAGTGGCTTAAAACTCACGCCGGACGCGTGTGCGTGCGTGCCCAAGATCCCGAGAGGAGAATGGAGGAGAGGGGATTGTGGCGTGACCATCCCCCCTGGGGGGTGATTTCTCGCTTTCTGTCTCCATGTCTCTCTCTGTCTGTCTGGCGAGCGCACGCACCCTATAGCGAAAATCTCTTTAAAAAAAAATAATAAAAAATAAAAAGTGCCAACTCCCTGTGCGTGCATGCCTGAAATCCCGGGAGGAGAATGGATTGCAGCATGGCCGTCCCTCTGAGTGGTCGTTTCGCTCTCTCGCTCTCTCTCTCTCTCTCTCTGACAAGTGCACGTGCCCTATAGCAAATTAAACAAACAACAAATGCAAGTGGGTTTAGGACCAGATTGCGAGCTTCTTGGGTGCTATGCTGAGAGCCTGGACTTCCTGCCCTGGGCCATGCAGAGCCACAGAAAAAACGTCAAGGGGGAAATATAAGTCCTAAGGCCCCGATGGAGGCAAGATGAGTCCGGGAAATTGGGTCAGAGGCTTTTGTGGTGGATCAGGCCAAGACTGAGGAGGCCTGAGCTGGAGTGCGCACTGCGGTGAGAGGAGGGTCCGCCGGCCGGAAGTCGAGGGGAGCCAAACAGCACAAGGGTCTTTGAGCCCTGGAAACGGGTTGCCTGCTCTCCCTGCCACTTGTCCCAGGTCACCTGGCCGACTGATCCTGCCTCCTGCCTGCTCGGGGTCCCTACCTCATTGGGACTTCCTCTGCAGGTGTGAGAGAGCAGTTGTGGTTGTTGGGGTGTTGGCGCCTGCAGACATGAAACACACCCAGCAGTGGGCCTGTTGGGTTGACAGATGGGATTACCTTGTAGGAAACAGCTCTGCGGGAGGCCAGGGTGATAGGTTACAGGTAAAAGCGTGCTGGGTTACCCTCAGCGTGCCACAGGGCTGAAAGGAGCCTCGGGGGAGACAAAACCAGGGGACAAGCCCTCATTCCTAAACATGGAAGATGAATATGATTGCAGAAATAATTTTTTTTTTCTTTAGAGAGATTTTTGCTTTAGGATACGTGTGTTCGCCAGAGGGACAGAGAGAGACAGAGAGACAGAAAGCGAGAAATCACCCCCCAGGGGGATGGCCACGCCACAATCCCTTCTCCATTTCCTCTTGAGATTTTGGGCACGCATGCACTCACACAAGCCTGGTGTAAGTTTCAAGCCTCTGGGTCCAGGACTCAAACTGCAGTCAGCTCTGTGGGAGTCCAGCACCCCAACCACTACACCGCCTGTTGGCTCCACAATTTTTATTTTTTTTTTTTTGAGAGGTCTTTTGCTATAGGGCATGTGCGCTCGTCAGAAAGACAGAAAGACAGAGAGACAGAAAGTGAGAAGTCACCCCACGGTGGGGATGGACACGCCACAATCCCTTCTCCTCCACTCACCTATTGGGATCGTGGGCACACATGCACACATACCTGGCGTGAGTTTAAACCATCAGGTCCGGGACTTGAACTGCGGTCAACTACATGAGAGTTCAGCAACATAGCCATTATGCCAATTGCTGGTCCCTACTTAATTTTATTTATTACCATTATTTTAAATCTGACCAGAGAGAGAGAGAAAGTGAGAAAGCAAGCTGCCAGGTTCGGGACTTGAACCACAGTCGGCCATGTGGGAGTCTAGCACCCCAATCACCACACCACCTGCTGGTTTCTATTTTTTTTCCCCTTTTCAATGGGTGTGTCTTTGTGGGATAAAAATATAGGAAAGGGGGCCCCGGCTCCTGTGGCACACAGCTGGCAGTGGCCCAGGCTGTGGGGCTGGAAGCCACATGTTGACAGCTGTTGGAGTCCCTGGCCTGGTTGGCCCGAGAGCCTGCCAGGTGTGTGCCTGCACGCCTGGATCCTGGCGGGCTGGAGGACTGGAGGGAAAGCACTGTGATGTGACCAGGCCTCAGGGAGGGTTTTTCGCGCCCTCACTCTTGCATGTGCCCTGCCGTTAGTGAGAATAGTAGTCATAGGGGGAGAAAGGCGTACAGGTCTGCCTGCCTGATGCTGTGGCAACTGGGCCCAAATTAAATGCCTCCACAAAAGTCTCTTGGCTTCCCTGATCCTCTGATCGTCATTGGCCTGCTGGCAGGTCTTGGAGGTGTGGATGTGGGGCTCTCTAGGCGTGAGTGTTGTGTGGGGCCCTGCCTGGGAGCTTCTGCGTGCCTTCTGTGGAGTAGCCGCTTCTCCTACGTCACGTGTGGTCCCTCCGCCCGCAGGAGTGCTGCTGGATGTACAGAAGTTTTATTGTATCAGCGACAGCAGTGCTGGCTTGCTCCAGACAGGTAAGGTGTGAATCCCCGCCTGGAGCTGGGACCTGGGCTCATGCTGGGGGCGCGGTTGGTGCCACGAGGCATTCGCTTTTCTCCCGTGGATGCCTGGATGCGGGCACACACATCCACACGCTCTCACGTGCACCCACGTGGTCACAACACACGATACGTGTATGCGCACACACACTGCCTGTAACTGGCACACGCTGGTTCTTTGCTGCAGCCCTCTCCCTTCTCAGAACCTTGAGACATGGCTGTCCAACTGGGGTACAGCTTTCCTTGGGTACACCAACACTTCCAGGAGATACAGGAGCACAGAGAGTTTGGAGAGCTCCACTTCCAGATCCTTGAGGTGGTTCATGCTTCTTTCCCAAGATGAGCCCACCTGAGAATGAGCCCGCAATTGGCCTGTGGTCCTCCCTTTTCTCTCCCCCACCCTTTTGAGAGGTTTTTGCTATAGGGCATGTGCACTTGGCAGAAAGACAGAGAGAGACAGGGAGACAGAAAGTGAGAAATGGCTCCCCAGGGGGGACAGCCATGCTGCAATCCCTTCTCCTCCAGTCTCCTCTTGGGATCTTGGGCACACACACACATATACACCTGGCATGAGTTTAAGCCACCGGGTCCGGGACTTGAACCGCGGTCAACTACAAGGGAGTCCAGCAACATAACCATTACGCTAACTGCTGGTCCTCACTCCCCCCTTTTTAAAGTTTGCTGTAGGGCACTCTCTGAAGAGCAACAGGGAAAGAATGAGTGAGAAAGCCCCACCACCAGCACCTGAGAGATGGCCACCCTGCAGCCCCTTCTCTTCCACTCTCTTCTCAGGATTTTGGGCACTCATGCACACGTGCCCAGTGTGATTTTCATGCTGCTGGGTCTGGGCCTCGAACTGCCCAGTCAGCCATGTGGGACCCAGCCAACTTAACCACTACACCACCTGGATGACCCCCACCTCTCCCTTTACCATCCCCTGTCTACCATTTTAAACAGAGAGTCTTCTCCCTATCCTGGATGTACTGCTCCGTGGTGTAAAACCCTCCTGGGCACCAAACAGAGGGACCTTGGTGGGTGTTTGGCTTCTACTGGGGGGACCGTGGGAGCACAGCAGGGAGAGCATCAGCAGAGACAGCTGGGGTGCTGGCTCCATGGCGCAGCAGTGATGTGGAGCTCAAGACAGTCAGCTCCACGTGGCCACTGTGGTTTGAAGCCCCAGCCTGGTCGGCTTGAACACTCCAGGACTCCAGGCACGCATGTGAGGGCCCCAGATGCAGTGGGCTGGAGCGGGAGGAAGGGGCTGGGGCACGACCAGATCTGGGTGAGGGCCTCTCTCTCTCTCACTCTCCTGTGCACGTGCACATGCTCTATCATGAATACAGAAAAAAGCACTGGGGATATTTCCTTCAGGCCACAAACCCATGGCAAGAAGCCAGGTCTCATCTAGTTGCCCCACTATTACTTATCTACAAATTAGAATTCAGATGCGAGACAGTGATTGTAGAGATGGGTGCCAACACATTTTTTTCAAATAATTATTTTATTTAACTCTATTACTGATATTATTATTATTGTTTTCAGTTTGATCAAACAGAGAGAGAGAGGGAATGGGAAAAAGCAAGCAAGCCACCAGGTTCAGGACTTGAACCGTGGTCAGCTATGTAGGAGTTCAGTGCCTTTACCCACCACGCCACTGGCTGGCCCCAGGTGTCAACACATTTAAGTTTCATTTTATGTATTCATTTATTTAAGAAGAATTATTTATTTATTTAATTCCATTGGTTGTTATTATTGTTATTTAATTTGATCAAAGAGAGACTGAGAGAGAGAGAAAGGGAAAGTGAGAAAGCAAGCCGCCAGGTCTGGGATTTGAACCACAGTTGGCCATGTGGAAGTTCAACGCCTTAACCACCGTATCATCTGCCAGCCCCAGTTTCATTTTATTTTATTTACTTATTGTTAATTGCTGGAGGGTGAGAATGAGGCAGAGAGAGAAAGAGGGGAAGGGAGAGGGAAAAAGGACACCCCGCACAGGGGGGTGTGGTCAGACCACAATTCCTTTTCCTCTATTTCTCTAACATGTTGGATTTTGGACACACACACAAACATGCCTGGTGTGTTTTTCAAACATTTGGAGCTGGCTTTGCACTGCAGTTGACCATTTGGGATCAGGTTTCCTTAACCACCAGGCCATGGGGCTGGTTCATTTTATTTTATTTTATTTTATTTTGTGTATATTTATAGGGTACAATGCGATGTTTTGATACGTGTGTATACTGCGGAGTAATCAAATGGGACTAATTAGCACATCCAGCACTTTAAATACTCATCATTTCTTCGTGATGAGAACACGTAAAATCCTCTCTCTCAGCTGTTTTGAAATATGCGAGACACTCCCGTTAACTATAGTTTCTGTGCTGTGCAGTGGCACTCCGGAACCTACTCATTTAACTGTAGCTGTGTACCCATTAACCAATGTCTCCCTACCCCATCAATGAAAAAAATTGAAGCCAACATCTTTTTTTTTTTTTTAAGATCAGTTCTATGCCAAAATATTTTTAAATTTTTATTTATTTTTTCTGTGGAGGGAGAGAGCGAGAGCATCCTTAAGAGGGTCTTGATCCATTTGAGGGTGATCCGCTCCCAACCTTCAGTCAGCCCCAGGTCATGGGCATGCATGTGCCTGGTGTCCTCACAGCTATCTCTGGACCTGAACCGGAAACCTTCCCATGTGGCTTTACTGTCAGTTTCCCCTAGCCGTTTCTTAGCCTGGTGATCGGGGCTCGGTTTGTGAGTGCTGTGGAGGGAGAAGGGTGCGTGCTTGTGAGTAGATGAAGGGAAAACTCCCTGTTACAGAAGCAGCCCCAAAGGTGCACAGACAGGACAGTGAGCTTGGAGACTTGGGGGCTCGTCTTGTCTCAGGTGAGTCTCTTTACTGTTTTAGGGTGCCATGCAGTGGTCCCCAGACTGCTGTTGTCTGTCCACGGGCTTCAGAGAGGACCAAGATGTTGGAGAGAGAGCTTGGTTAAGGTTTGAGTGGGGGAGGGCAAGCAGATGGCGAAGTGGTTACGTTGCTGGACTCTCACATAGCCTACCACGGTTCAAAACCCAGACCTAATGACTTGAAACTCATGCTGGGCACGTGTGTGTGCATGCCCAAGATCCCAGGAGGATGGAAGAGAAGGGACTGTGGTATAGCCACCCCCAGAGGGTGGTTTCTCACTTTCCCTCTCACTCTCTGTCTCTGTCTGTCTCTTTCTCTCTGGATAGCACAAACTGAAGGCAAAAACCTCTGAAAAAAAGTCAAGTGGGAAGTTGGGGGAGGTCCCTTTGGCTTCCCATGGAACAGAGAAGCTACTGGACTAGTTAGTTCATTAATGTTTATATATTTTTTAATTTTTTTAATTTATTTTTTTTGGAGAGATTTTCGCTATAGGGTGCTTGTGCTCGCCAGACAGACAGAGAGAGAGACAGAGAGACAGAAAGCGAGAAATCACC